GTGTACGTACATATATATATACACATGTAATACCTACTCATAAGTACTGCGCTGCAACTTCCTTTTCTTCTCAACCCCCCCTACCCTCGTGTTATAAGAGAGGCACATTCCTTCGTGTGCATGTGCACCTTTTGTATATATTTATACCTATACCGTGGAGCGATCGATCGTCGTGGCGCGCCTTCGATTGTCTGCCGCGTTGGGCGATGCAGCGTGCTTTTTAACGGAATATTTTCGAATGAAGCGCATTCTTCTTCTTTTCGTGAGTACAATGCCGCCTCTTTGATCCTCGCTGTGCTTGCAAGTTGCGCTTTTATTGCACATACATATATACGCACTTTGTCGGGCATAATTTTTAATGAAGTGCCTTTGAGTGCATCGGTCGTTACATCCTCGTAGAGATAATAATGTACAAACAGTAGCTTTATGTGTACAGACTCAATTTGCAAAATGTTGTCGCGAGCCATAGGCATCGGTTGTGTGATTCGCTGCTGAATCGGTATGTGTATGGTGATTCGACCGAATGATCTGTGTATAAATGTGCAACGGGAACGATATCTGAATGACTGGTGGTTCTCGGGAGTTTCGTCACGGGACCTTTGTTTTTTTTTTTCCTTAAAATAAAAAAAAAAAAATTAAAAATCGCGTGAATCACGTGGGAAACGCGTTGAGGCGGAGATACGGAGATCGACGAGAGGTTCGCGCGTACTTGTATCGATATACGGAACGACGACGCGTGTGTTTTTTAACCGAAGGACGTTAAGCGCGTGTATACACCTACTTTTGCAAACAATGAAAAGACATTAGCGTAGGTACTCACGTTCCGAAAATGTTGTACAATGTACACGCATACAGTCATATGTTATATGAGGAGAGACTCATTAGAGATTTTGATATTATTAGGTGTTTCATTGTTGCAGTTGCGCACACCGGAAAGGTATAAGGACACTTTTTTTTTTTTTTTTTTTCTTCCTTTTCTCTTTTCCTCATCATCATCATTACGAGAGTCGAGGTGATTGTTGTTGTTTTTATTCGCGTGCGAAATTCTACCCAAGGACACATTACACATGTGTAGTTTGCGCGGCGGATGCTGATGGCTTTTGTACGAGCGCAGAAACACGTAAAGGAGAACGGATCGATTCTTTTGTGTGTTTTTATGTACACAACGATAGTTCGCGTCGGTGATTTTTCCCTCTCGTCTCGTTTAATGATCGTCAGCAACAACTGCTTTTCTCATCGGCATAAAAGGTTGTATATAACGAATCTACCGATCCGCAATCGTTATCGGTTTTCACGGCGCGACAACAGGTCAAAAGGTTACCCCACGTTTCGGGAAAGCCAATGTAGACGCGTGTGTGTCGGGTGGGGAGAAGCCCATGAATAAAATGCAAATAAAAAAAAAAAAAAATAAAAATAAGCAACGACAACAAAACAGCCATCAGTGCAGGGCGCAACTTCGTGTTTGTTGCACCATCGGGTTGTTTGTTTTGCATGTGTAAGTAGGTGTACGTTTCTCATGTATGTACGCGCGCGGGGATATTTGAAATTCAAATGGCAAATCCTCCGAAACGCCGTGCCACTTGCACCTCATAATCCGTCGAGCGACTTTGCTTACGCAATCGCTGACACTATAATACGGTGTTTATACCGATTCCTCCTCCCTTGTTTTTTTTTTCTGCAAACCAGTGAGATATCTTTTTATCACACAGTTAGCGCGTCGCTGCGGATGGTATTATTTTTCTACCTTTCCTTTAAAAATAATCTGGGAAAATCAGCGTGCGCGGCTATGCATTAAAAAAGATCTCCTTATCCCTTCTCCGTTCGCACAGACGGCTCATACTTGTGTGTGTATATCCTCACACATAGAGTATACATATTATAGGTATACGTAGGAGAGTATACAGTAGTCATTTCGCGCGGTGGTGGCGCGAAAATCGCGCGGAAATCCTTTGTTTGCCTTTTGCGTAACCGGGAGTTTTGTGAGCCTCCGGAATTTCACTTGTTCTCTTTCTGTGCCCTCCACTGCGTGTCTGCATGTACACACTTCCCTTTGTTACGCTTGGTATTTTTTTTCCCTTTTTTTTTTTTTTTTTTTTATTCCACATAGTCAACTGTGCGGCGATTGCACGTGCGGGCCAGACATATGGGACGAGATGCTATGTAGGCTATAGTTCCAATGAATTGTTCGATCGATCGGGAGTATAACGCGTATATTAAACTCGGTGAGCTTTCGCGGCGAGAAAAAGAGTATACATAATTGGCTAGGATGCTGGTGGCGTTTTTACTCCCAGAGAGAGAGACACGCGGCTATTTTAAGGGCCTCCAAGTGCCAGAAGCAGCGTGTAGTTGTAATTGCTGCTTAGCCAAGTAAGTGGGTCAAGCGCTTCTCCGTGTGGAGTCGCTTAATTGAGCTCGTTTTTAACGAAGACTCGGTTGGCTCGGGACGTCTGGGAAACACGGAATTGATGCTTTCGCGGAGAAATTGCATTATACCCTCGCTTCGCGCTATTCTCGGCTCTTGTGGCAGCTCGGGTGATGAAATTATTGCCAATCGTGATAAAAAAAAAATCGTACAGTTATACCACGAAGTTTATGCATTGATGCTGTCTGTCGCTCAAATCCATCCCAAACAAAGTCTGCACTGTCTTTACATACTTTCTTTCACTAATGACATAACGCGGTGTGGTTCAGACCGTATCTGTGTTGGACCCCTCAAAGAAGGGGGTATTCTCAGACCATAGAGTCAGGTTCAAAACTCGCGCCCATTCTGATACGATGCTCGTCGAGTATGACGATAGAAAGAAATAGATCAGCGATCGTAGATACGGAGATCCTGCAGATATAAAACAAACGTTTTTTTTTTAATTTATTTTTTGACAGTTCCACCCCATAATCTCTATACTCGTTCGTTCGTGTACGGGAGTAGCTCCGAATGCCAAGAGAACCAACGCTCCCAACCCACTTTGGCCTCTCCATCGTTTGCAACCCAAGTCTTTATGTTTTTTTTTTTCTTCTCAAAATTCAATAGCAAAAAAAATCTCCCGAGCAAGCGAGAAAACTGCGCGACGATAGTCTTCCACCCGGTGTAGTCGGGCAGGAAGAAGAAAGTGAAGGTGAGAGACCGAGCTCAATCCCTCACCGCATGGGTACACGGCGCGATTGTTTGTCCGTGTGCCTTCATTGTCGTGCAAAAGCGCCGGCATTATCACCCTCGGCCTGGCGCGGAGCGAGAGATCGGCCAGACGGATAATAGCTCATTCCAGATGGGAAAATAATATCATACGTATACGCTCCTTTTTCTCGTTTCGCTCGCTGTTTGTGTGTGTGTGTGTGTGTGTAGCGCACTTGGCAAATAGCCCGAGATAAAACGAGTGCGAGGTCGTTACACTCCTCGCGGTGTCGCGATACCAGATGCTTGTCGTTGATTTTTGACCGACGCCGGGTGTCGTGTAAGTACGACGACTCGTTTGATGTTGTTTGGCTAGAGACACGCTGGTTGTTGGTCGGCGCAGGGACATTTTTCGCGACTTTGATGAGATTCGAGAGAGAGTGGCCGTTTTGGGCTCGACTTAACGGCGCGAGAGTTTAGATTTCCCCGTTTGGTACACACCGGGCCATCGATGGGATACGATTGAATTTTAAATAAGCCCACGGGTGCATTGGCTTCGCATGTGCACAAGGTATACGTAATACATTATAGTAGACGGGGTTACGTAACAGGCTCATTTATATTTTATTTCATTCCGTTCGGCGTGAGATGTTTTTCGCCGAGTGTACAACTCGTATACCCGCGCACGTGGGAGGGGAAACAAGTAACGAATAATAATGCGCCGTTTGGCCCATACGTATCCGCGGAATGATGTTACGATTGGTCGTGGTGGAAAAGAGAGCCGATGTGCGCAGGGGAAAGAAAAGACAATCATCGTCAACGAGTCGAGCGAATGATAAAAGTTATTTTATTCTCACGAAATCGGTGTATAGAGAAAATTGAAATCTCGCTGTATTAGTGTGGATGCAGCTCGAATGCAAATCTCCAAAAGACGAGCGGTGCACGTTGCGCATGTACACGAACAAAGGGCGAAAGCTAATTTAGGAGCTGACGGCCGAGGGGGGGTGGGTCGCCGCTCGAAACTTATCGCCCGCGCAGGGAGCTCTGGATCGTAATATTAGCTCGGAGGCACAAAGCGCACGTGCAAGTGTATACAGAGTACAACGAGACCAGCAAGCCGCAAAGTCGGCGCCCGCTAAACATAGCGCCGGCCGCGAAACCAGACCGGAAGTGGGGATCTAGGATGAGGGCGCTCCTCCCCCACCCACCCCCCTGGTGTGCCTTTCGAGTGCGCCGTGTATTAATAAAATCCGCGGCTCCCTCGGGAAGCATATATATATATACGCCCTCAATTGCTTTAGGAAATGAACTTTTAGTTTAAATCATCTTCCTTTCGTGCGTATATTTACGTACATCGATTACACGTGTGATGGCTTGTTTACATATACTTGCTCCACTACTCCATAAGACCTGTATGTATACACTGCAAACACACGGTACACCCCTCGTTACCGCGACAGCGGATCAAAATGCTTTTCCGACTATCATACAATACACGTCCCATACGTATGCACACATAAGTGGCCCTTATTATCTCGGCGAAGCATTTTTTGTTTCTTTTTGCACAACGTTGTCCACAGGTTGGGTCCCCCCCCCCTCTTTTCCTTCACGGATTATATTATTGTTTTATTCTCTCTGTATCTTGTTTTATTTACATATATTTATTTATTTTTTCATTTTACCTCGAGATGTAATTTAGCATAAGCAGCGGACCCGTTGTATATCAGTCACGACGCGTTCGCGGTTAAACACACACAAATGCACGTGTACGGTCACGACCGTACATTATGTGCTGTACACCTCCTGTGGGAAGTATACAGTCTGTTGGACGATATTATTATAAATACACGTGCACGGTACATGATATATTGCATAAGAGCATTGCGCGACGATGGCGATAAGAAAAAAAGCGGAAAGTGGAGTTGAAAAAAAAAAAAACCCTTTTGCCCTGCTTTTTTTTCAGAGGGCGTACGCCGCGGTGTCGGCCAACTCGCCGAGCTCCGAGAACCGGGCCAACCTGAGGCGCAGCGTAAGGGACGAGCCGGCCCCGCATCCCGCCCGGCTGCGCAAACACCGGCACGGCTGGACCCTGCAGTTCGGCAGGCAGGGCCTCATCGGGGCCAATTGCACCAAAAGCCTCGTTCTACTGCTGATACTCGTGCTCGCGCTCCTCGGCATCGGCGGAGTCGCGCTCTACATAGTCTTCGGTAAGTCGACACTTTTGGCTTAACGCCATATTATATCTATAAATATTGTTGTGCAATGCATCAAGTTGCAAATTGAATTTTTCGATTTTGCTCGGGGCACTGGTTGATTTGCGGACCCGCACGTATAATGTACGCGGAAAATATTCAATTTGACTAATATATATGCAAAACTTGCGGTACCGTGGGGTTGTCAATTAATATTATAAATACCGAGCTGCTTACTTTTGCGGAGGTGCATTTGCATGAAAAACCAACAAATTCGTTTCAACGCAAATATTACCGGTTATTTGTGCGTGTGCGTGCACGTGCGACTTAACAATAATTTCAATCGCTGCATGCACACGCACCTTTGAATATATATATATATATATATATATGTACACCCTGAGAGAAACAAAATAAATAGTAAGTATTACTGTGCTGGAATGGTAATCTTACTTACTTTTGGCCAACCTAATTTTTACCATTCTGGATGGTAATTCATATTGCACAAACAGTACGTTACAGCACCAGATTATCCATAGCACAGTAATTTTTATTAATTTTGTTTCTCTCAGTGTGTCACATCGGTAAACGGTGCGAGAGGGGATAGGGATTGTTTGGATTAAAATTGCTTTAGAAGGATACCTGTATAATAAATAAACACAACTGTAGAGAAAAGTAAAAGAAAAAAAAAAAAAAAAAAAAAAGTGTCCTTATACCTTTCCGGTGTGCGCAACTGCAACAATGAAACACCTAATAATATCAAAATCTCTAATGAGTCTCTCCTCATATAACATATGNAAAAAAAAAAAAAAAAAAAAAAAAAAAAAAAAAAAAAAAAAAAAGGACAGACCGAAAGACTTCAAAGCCGTTAAGTATACACATTTAAACACAGCGTCGCTGCTCTTTTTAATGAAAAGATTAACATTTTGTAGGCCGCTTTTTCCCCGCTCGTCGGCCCTTTTCCTTCCTCCGCCGTGTATATATGTATGCGTATAATGAGATTCGGTACGTAATCCTATTACCGCGGACAGGGGGTGGGGGAGAAAAACTGGATTACACACGAGCCGAAGCGAGAAAGAGACACCTCGGATCATTTTTTTTTTTTTTTTGTTCCTCTTCCTTCCTCCTCGCGTATATTATCCATTGCCACGGCTTTGGGGCGTGAGCTTAGCGTCGCGATCGCAATCAATTTGTTCGCGTCCACTTTCCGCCTGTCTCTCCCGCGCGTTTCGGAATACACGTATTTTATATATACGCCCTTGATCCATCTAGTTGATCCTTCGGTAGAAATAACTGCGGACGGCAAAGGTATTTCCAAAATTAAAGCATCGCCGGTCAATTCGTCGACGAGTTGGATTAATTTACGAGATGCAGCGAAAAAAATAAAATAAAATAAATAAATAAATAAGAGATATGTATGGTTAAACGAGAGATCTCGTATCTCATTTTTCTCGCTCGCATCATCTCTGCGGCACGCACATATACGGATGAGGTCGATGCATCCTTCTCCGCAGCACATGAGCGCAAATACTGCATTTATGCCCGAGTTAAGATCGGTATGGCGCACACGTGTTTGATGTATGTTGGCTGACTAAAATGTGTGTGTGTGTGTACGTATATGTATGTACAGCGTAGAGAGCCGAGCGACAGTCCTCGGGATTACGGGGCGAATAATGTTCCCATGCCCCTGAATGTCGGAATTTACAAGTCAAGTGCAGCAGCAGCAGCAGCAGCAGAGACGGTGGCGGCACACGATGAATATAAGCGCGCGCACGCCTTCATTTTTTTCTTGATCTTACCCAGCTCGCAGCAGCTGTCCCCCGCTTTGCTTGCCCATGTAAATATACATATACAATATTCTATATTATTACTATAACTATTGTGTGCACTTATGCGTATTATAAAGCATTACGTGTGTATTCATACGGAGATACGTGTGTGTTTTTGCGACCGGGGAATTGGGAGCTGTTGCAGGTTTTTGCTCCGAGTGCGCACAAATGAGGAGGAGAGCGTTCGTATGTAGCATATGTAATGGTGCGTGTTTCGAAATACATAATGTAGCCGAGGAGGAGGAGATTGAACCGGCGCAGCCGAGCATAATAATGACTTTATGTAACGTCGAACGGGTCCTTGTTTTAGCGTTACTTGCAACTGTGGGTGCCTTCCTCTCCCTCGATGCGAAATTGACGTTGATGAGTCTCGTTATAATAATGTACCCGCGTATACTCTCTTGTGCAATCGAGATTTTCTAAAACCGATCTCGATCGCGATCGTTTTCGGTACATCGATTCTTTTAATACGTGTACCCTCGATTCGAGCGCCTGAAAAATTAACGCGAGCCAGAGAACCGCTCGAACGAAGAAGACGACCGTTTTGTCTGATAAATCGGCGATCGTTAACTCTCGTCACTCGGACGCTCCTCTCGGTAATGTCGTATCGTTACGATAACGCGTACAATTCGGGTTTCTCTTTTGCGTAAATCTTTTGTGCTCCTTGCCCGCAGGTTTTAATTTTCATCGCCCGCCAAATTAAGATCGTTTCGCGCGACTCTCCGAGACATCGGTGAGTCAGACGTGTGGACGTGTTCAAAATGTTCCTGCCGATTTTATCTCGTTTGGGACGTCTCATCGTGTCGTTTGGACCCGAAACTCGACACGAGTCCGTGGTACCTTGTAAAACACTCACTCCTTGCCGGTGACAAAACTACGGGTATATTATTCCCGCGCACAATACTATCGCAAAGTAAATCATCTCCCAAAAGATGGTAGCAGAGACAAAGGCTTGGTAATTAGGCTCTCGGGGAGTTTTGCAAACGTCATCGTCGTTACCTTTCGCTCCCAGAGCCGTTTTCGAAAATTCCACGGGCGTCGAAATAAAATGAAAAAGGCAAGCGGACACACTGCCTATTACGCCCCTCCGTACATTCGCGTGAATTCAATTCAATTAAACGCGGCCTCATAATACTTACACAAGCGCGAGAGAGATTATCCGAGCTTGGGTCTCGCGCGAAATGAAAGAAAGGAGGATGGAAGGGGCGGTCTTTTTCCCACCGCGACGCTCCGTAAGCGTGAAAATGAGCGCATCCTCCGTTAGGTCGGATGTTTGCTGAGAGCGAAAAATTTTTTTTTCCCTACCCCTTCGTGGCTGTATGCATCGATTCCTTGAACTCCCGAAGCCCCGATCGACCGCACCCCGGCGCTGTTTTTACACGCACACACGGCACGAAAGTTTCGACCTTTTTTTTGTTTCCTTTCTTTTGCAACACTGTCCTCGTCGCCGGGAAGAGATTCGCTAAGTAAGTTTTTGCAAACAGGAAAGCCCTCCCCCCTCCGCTTCACGCTACGTTGACGTCCCGGCCTCGCCTGTGTTTGCCTTTTGTTCCTTTCTACGCTCTCTTTTTGCTCCTCCGCCTCTAGCGGTGTCTCTCGGTTTTCGTGCCGTCACCTGGGAAAATAATCCAAAGACGGACCGGACGGCCTCAGTCAACTACATTATTTTTTTTCTTCCAGAACCAGAGAAGCTTCACGTGATCCAGCAGTACCTGCGCTCGGGCGCGCGCAACGAGAGCTCGGCGACGAGTTACGCCGAGCCGGGCGGTAACCACCTCCTGCCCCTCGAGCCGGTCTCCCCGACGTCGCCGCTGCTCGACGCCCTCTTCAACGGCAGCAACCTGCCGCCGGGCTTCGACTCCAACGACCTCGGCGAGCCCGTCTTCGTGACCGCGTGGACCACCACCTCGACGAGTACCACCCGCAGGCCGTCGAGCACGACGACTACGAGTAGCACGACTACGACGACTACTACGACGACTACGACGGCGAGTCCCAGGCCACAGAGTAGCGGCACGGCGCGGACCACCACGGCGAGGGCGGCGACGTTGCTGTTCCTGGAGGCGCACTCGAGGCGGCGGCTCTGCCACGAGTGTTACGCCGACGAGGTCTGCGTGGCGAGGAACGCGGACGAGACGCCGTACTGCAGGGCGCCCCTCGACCCCGTGCCCGGCGACGGCTGCGGCGGCTTGTGCGACGCCAAGAGCCAAAAGTGCCATAAGCTCGACGGCGGTGCTTTTAGGTGAGTGCCCTTTTTTTTTTTTTTGTTGCCCCGGACGAGAACTGCACGTGGGCATCGACTATATAATACTATACGTATATATAAAGGGTCCTTGTATGTATAGAGTATGTATATGTGTGCAGGTATACACAAAATATATGCGTTACAAAGGGAGGACGAGCTGGCGTAATGTGTCATTTGTATGCCTCTCGCGCGAACGGAGAGGAGACGCAGAAGAAGCCCGATGAATAATGGAGTTTATCAAAATGCTAATTTTTCGGGAGAAAGGAGCCGATCATCATCGATTGTTCCTCCTTTCGGCCCTTTATTTTCGCGTCGCGTATTGCGTATGATTAGTTTTTGCCTTTGTTAAATTTTATTGACCCTCCCTGCTTCTTTTTCTTCTTTCTTTCACGTTTCTTGTACTCCAGCGGGCGGTAAGTAAATATACGTGTGCGTGTGCGTGTACTCTTCCGGGAACGATCGATTTTGAATAAAGCGAACAAATAAGCTCCAAAAAGGTTTCTCTTTAACCCGAGTATTTTATTTAACTCAACAAAAAAAAAAAAAAAAAAAAAAAAAAAAGACTAATCCCTTTGTGGGTTTAAAGATGCACGGAAAGCGAGCACCTCTGCCTGGACGACGAATGGACGTGCCTCAACATATTCTGCATACCTCTGGTGAAGCGGTGCGACGGCCAGATGAATTGCTACGACCACTCGGACGAGTACAATTGCGGTAAGCACGACGATACATCATCACAAACGCGCATCATCGACGTATATATGCCCATCATCTGTAACCGGTGTCCCTATCTCGCGCGTGACTGTTATTGATATTTTGCTGCTCGGTTGGCAAATTGAATTTCGCGCGCGAGCCCGGACAATGGAATTTGCTTTCGAGGGTTTTATGTTTACCGGGTGCCCTTTTTCTTTTTATTTTCGAGGTGAAAATACACTCGCGCAGCTGGAAACATCGCAAGTACACGCGTATGAAAGTTGCAAGTTGTGCCGACTGACATTAACCCGGATAGCGTAAAGTCTATATATACATACGTGTCTTAAGGTATTTTTCTTTTATTGGCTTTGCCTTGTGCTGTACTCGCGCTTTCGAAGGCTTCTCGCGTGTATACTGTTTGCACAAAAAAAAAAAAAAAAAAAAAATGTAACGTCGCTACAAGTGGGTCGACGTTGCGAGAGAAGGGAACGCTTTACTTGTATACCCCGATCGTTACTCGATTGACTTATCGACGAGAAAAGTCTTGTGTTTATCCTATTTAAAAGTCATTCAATCACTTTTTTTCCCTCTTTTATTGTTCGGAAGGTAGGTAATTGATGATTAATGCTTTGTATTTTTTCTCCTTTGAAGAATGTAATTTAGAGACGCACTTCCACTGTGGCAACCAAACCTCGTGCCTTCCGCTGTCGAAAAAATGTGATGGACACGTGGATTGTTTCGACGCCACGGACGAGGAGAACTGCACAACGAGTAAGTTTCTTTATTTTTTTCTCTCACGTATGTACTTACTCAATTTAAGATACGCGCGAATCAGTCATCTGAAAAAAAAAAAAAAAAAATCATATGTATACATATACAGATTACATACGTATTTATTACATTGGTAAAAAAAAAAGAAAGGAATTTTTTGTCTCTTATGTGCTCATACTTGAAACATTAAATATAATAAATCACGTATACGTCATTCAGATTTCCAATTATACCTTTCTTACTTCGTCTTGAAATATGACCGGTAATGTTACCTTGTTTTTGAGAGTATTATTGCAAGTATACGAAAAGAGCATTAAAAAAAAAAAAAAAAAAAAAAAAGAAATCTCGTCAATTGTAATTGTGTACAACGTTTTTATCATAGCCTTTCTTTTCTTTCTTTATAGGTCATGAACTTGGTAGGCGTGAGTACCCTTTAAAACGATTTTACTCTTCTTTATCTGTTTTTTGGTTTTTTTGTTTTTTGTTTTCTTTTCTTCAAAATCGCTACATCGCTGGACAATTGTGTTTTCTCATGTTACAAAACTTGTTCCTCGAGCGCGAGCATAAATGAATATTCATTGACTCTTGGGTTCTCTCTCTCTCTCTCTTTCTCTCCTCCTCTGTGTTAATATTTTTTCAAAAAGCACCATCTGTAGTCTCGTAGCAGCATAAATGTGGTTTTTCCATCTTTATCGTCATCGATTTATGGGTTTGAGTATATAAATCATCGACTCATTACAATAACGATCTTTTCAACAATCTCTGTGATTAAAATTTCTCGACTCTTTCTTTTTTTTTTTTTTTTTTTTTTTTTTTTTTTTTTTTTTTTTTTTTTTTTTTTTTTTTT